ATATGCAAAGAAAAGACAAAATAATCCATAGTTTCAAAAAGCTGGATATAAAATCAAAATCCAAAACACTTTAACAAGAGCGCAAAGAAAGGAGAGTCTCTTTAATAATGGTGTTGGGAAAACTGGATATCCACATGCAAAACAATGAAGTTGGGCCCTTTTCTTAGACCATATACAAAAAATTAACTTGAAATGGATTATAGACTTCAATGTAAAATCTAAAACCATTTAGCCCCTAGAAGAAAATATAGGGGAAAGGCTCATTGACATTGGTATTGACAATGATACTTTGGATATGATTCCAAATGCACAGGCAAAAATAGCAAAAATAAACAAGTGGAGCTACATCAAACTAACAAGTGTCTGCTCAGCAAAGGAAACAATCAACAAAATGAAAAGGCAACCTAGAGAATGAGAGAAAATATTTGCAAATCATATATAAGGGGTTAACAGTAAAAATATATAAGGAACTCACATAATTGAGTAGCAAAAAAACGAAATAACCTAATTTTAAAATTGGCAAAGATCTGAATAGACATTTCTCAAAAGAAGACATACAAATGGCCAACAGGTATATGAAAAAATGCTCAACATCACTAACCATCAGGGAAATGCAAATCAGAACCACACAAAGTATCAGCCCAACCAATACAAGTGTTGGAGAGGGTGTAGAGAAGAGAACCCTTGTACACTGTTGGTGGGAATGTAAATTGGTATAGCCATTATGGAAAACAGTATGGAGGTTCCTCAGAAAACTAAAATATAACTACCTTATGATCCAGCAATCTCTCTTCTGGATACATATCCAAAAGGAATGAAATCAGTATGTCAAAGAGATATTTGCCCTCCTGTGTTTATTACAGCACTATTCACAATAGCCACAACATGTGATATGGTTTGGCCCTGTGTCCCCCAAAAATCTCATGTTGAATTGTAATCCCCAGTGTTGGAAGTAGGGCCTGGTGGGAGGTGATTGGATCATGGGGGTGGTTTCTAATGGTTTAGCACCATCCCCCTAGTGCTGTCTTGTGATAGAGCTCTCACAAGATGTGGTTGTTTAAAAGTGTGTAGCACCTCCCCATTCACTCTCTTCCTCCTGCTCCAGCCATGTAAGACATGCTTCCTTCCTCTTCATCTTCCTCCATGATTGTAAGTTTCCTGAGGCCTCCCTAGCCATGTTTCCTGTACAGCCTGTGGAACTGTGAGTCAATTAAATCTCTTTTCTTTATAAATTACCCAAATTACCCAGTGTCAGGCAGTTCTTTTTTTTTTTTTTTTGGAGATGAAGTCTTGCTCTGCAGTGCAGTGGTGCGATCTCAGCTCACTGCAAACTCTGCCTCCCAGGTTCAAGCAATTCTACTGCCTCAGCCTCCTGAGTAGCTAGAACCACAGGTACCTGCCACCACACACAGGTAATTTTTGTATTTTTAGTAGATATGGGGTTCCACCATATTGGCCAGGATGGTCTTGAACTTCCGACCTTGTGATCCACCCACTTTGGCCTCCCAAAGTGCTGGGATTACAGGTGTGAGCCACTGCACCCAGCCTCAGATAGTTATTTACAACAGTATGAGAATGGACTAATACAACATGTAGTCAATTTGTGTCTGTCACTGGATGAATGGATAAAGGATATAATGGATATAAAAAATGTGGTATATATTCAGAATAGAATACTACTCAGCCTTAAAAAGGAATGATATCCCGTCATTTGTGACAACATGGGTAAACCAGGATGAGATTATGTTCAGTGAAATGAGCTGGGCACAGAAAAAGAAAAATACTGCATGATTTCACTTATATGTGGAATCTAAAAAAGTCGAACTCATGGCAATAGTAAAATGGTGGTTGTCAGGGACTGGGGAATGCAGGTAAATGAGAATATGTTGGTCTAAAGGTACAAACTTTCAGTGATAAGTGAACAAGTCTGGGGAATCCAATGTACAGCATGGGTGGCCATGGATGTGTTAATTAGTTTGATTGTAACAGTCAGTACATAATGCACGTGCATATCAAATCATCATGTTCTGATACATATGCATTTGCACCTTGAATATATGAAATCTTTGTCAATTAAATATTTTAAAATACAAAAATAAGACCTATATAAATGGAAGCATATTTCCTATTCATGGATTGGAAAATTCAACATTGTAAAGATGTCAAATCTTCACAAACTAATCTACAGATATGATGCAATCCTCCTCAAATCCCCAATATATTTATATAGGTGTGTCTAGAACCTGACCAGTTGACTGTAAAATTGACCCTAGAATAGCCATTATATTCTTAAAGGCAGGAGGACTTGTCCTATTGGATATTAAGATGGAATGGTATAGTAATTAAGAGAGTGTGGTATTGGTGCAAGCTGGACAAGTGGGCTCCAAGGGATAGAAAGGAGACTCAGACCTCACATACATGGGCACTTCATCTATGGCAGAGGGGGCGCTGGAGAGCCATGGGGGCAGGACAGCCTTGCAGGGTCATTGGATGGAGATCCAGATGGACAAAAATGAACCTTGACCTCACTCTGCCACCATGCCCCAACACAGATTCCAGGCAAATCTTGGTGGGAAAGGTGGAACAATAAACTTTATGCATTCCCTCTGCTTTATCAGAGCCATTTTGCTTCTAGGCATCACTGTTGTCTTGGTCTTTGTTTCATGGTCAAAACCTCTATTTTACTTAGTTTTAACCTTTGTTTGCCTTCATGTAAAATAACACAACCTAATTGTTTTATGTTTGTGTTGAAATTTCAAATTATTTCAAGTTTTTGTTCTTCAATTTAAGACTTTTGATTCATTTTCATATGTTATTATTCTACCGGTTTTATTCATTTCACTTCCTAAAATGTGCTTAACCACTTTCATTTTTCCCTTTTTGTCAACTGTTCACACATGTTAGCACATCCAGATCATTTGTGTAATCAGTATACACCTATTTCATAAGGATAGTCAAAAGGAAGAAACATATGTAATGGAGGGACATTAGGGAAGGCTTTTGCCAGTAACTTAAATCCTCAGTCAGAATGAGAGATTCGTACAATTTGAAAATAAACGTGCACTCCTTCCACTTTCCATAATTCCTTGAAAACGTGGCCTAAATAAGTAGTGATGTGTGGGTGATTATATTTCAATGGAGAGAGAAAGAAAGAGAAGAAAAGAGAAAGACACAGAGATAATTAGTTTCTGTGTCTGTGTATCTAAGAGATACAGACTGATGTAAGAAAGAAGAGCAAAATGTTAAGGTTGGTTGGCTCACGGCAGAAAGATGAGGTAGCCCAGCAAAGCAGTAAAGAAGAGGTTACTGAAAAACTCTAGGGAGACTCCCTGAAACTATTGCTACAGAATAAAAGATGAAATGCTCCTGATTATTGTGAATACAAAATTGCATGCAGGATTGTATAAAGACAATGCAAGGTTGGGCTGCCAGAATGAGCCAATAGTGGGTGATGTGCTTCCCCCTGCAGAGAGCCTGTGAATGGATGTGCAGTCAGGGAGGTTTCACATCACCAAGACTCCTATCCCAGAAAAGCAGATGTTCATAGCTCTGGGAATGGAATGCGACCCTTGTGGAGAGCCTATAAACAGACGCATGGGGGGCACCTGTCCATATGGATAAGATAGGGCTATAAACACCCTCAGCTTGCTGCAGCTCTTCTAGGCCTCTTTAGGGTTAAGGCATATCCCCTTCTGAGAAATTCTGGTCTAACCGGTTGTCTAACTTCACGTCCTGTTTCTATGAATTGTTTGTAACCAGCTTTTGCTGCAACTGCTACTGCTGAGTAATATCTTTCTAATCATAGGTTATGGAAAGATGGTGTGCCTGCTTTAAGGCTCTGTTAGAAATTCTGGATGCACACACTATACTGTAAATTCTTATCTCTGTATACTGTACTTCTGCATGCAGATGTTATGTTAAAGAACTACTTAATCCCCATGTGACCATCTCACCTCATAATCAAATGACCCTAAATCCCTCACTAACCTACCCCTGCCCTCGCTAAACTTAATAATAAATGCTGGCATATCCAGTGCATTGTTGGCACCACGGGACCAGAAGGTGGTGACCCCGCTGGACCTAGCTTTCACTATCTTGTGTGTGTTTGTTATTTCTCGACCTGCCGATCCGCCTGGGAACAAAGAGAGAGTCCCATTGCATTGTGGGCTGCTGGCCAGATCCCGCAATAAAAAACTACACTGAATGGGCTTAACTTGGCTTTCACCAAACTGCTTCTGAAGGCCAGAGAGGCCCAGGTGGAAAGAAACAGGTGGAGGAAGATGGAACTGCAAGCAGAATTGCAAGATAACCTCGTGAGGATAAATGGCCTTATAGAAAAGGGCAAAAGACGGCTGTGGGAGGGCCCTTTGTACAGCCAGTTAGAATTTGGAAAGAATAAGTCTAGTTGGATGATGAATGAGGCTGATGGGATTGCTGAAAAACAGAAGGCAGTGATGATCTGTGGTCTCAGGGCTCTCTATGTATGTGAGAGAGAGGCAAAGAAGGGAATGGGACTGAGTTGAGACAAAAGACATCAACTTTTGTACTAAGTGGGTCCCTGAGTGACTCCAAAAAACACTAGGATCTCAGATTCAGGTGGAAAGCTTACCACATGGGCAAGGACTTGCATGGGCAAGCCCATCACAAGGGACCAGTGTTCCAACCTATTGCAGCATCTATGGGGACCTAAATGTCTCTCCTGGTGGCCAGGCTCAAAGGAAGGGTGGGGGGATCTGGGAACAGAAGAGTGCTGCTTTCAGAGTATATGCTTCCACCAAGGATCCAGCCCCATTAGAAGATCAGGCCAGCTTGAGCAAGGGACAAGCACATATGTACACAAGTACACACTACTGATGTGGCTTTTTACCAAGCTGTACACATCAAGGTAATTCAAATGTAGCCCCATTGGTTGGGTCCACTGGCATGACCTCACATGGACACAAAGAGTGAGGAGGAGCCAGGGTTTTCTTGGCGCCTGAATCTTAGGACCCAACACTTACCTTTCCACGTTCTCATGTTGTCTAAACCAGAGAGAGAGATTCTTCTGGGAACCAGAGTGCATTCTGGCTTCTTGCTGCCACTGTGTGTACTCCACTCCTCTTGGCGCCGTTCAGACAGATGGCTTGGCTTAGGGGGGCGGGGAGGTGGAGTGTTGGACATAATGTCTAGTTCTTTTGCTCCACAGGGTAAGGAACCTTGATTTTTATCTACCTGAATGGTGGAACTTAAGGAACTTCCCAGCAATGGTGAAGAAGACAAGTGGTCCCTGGGTGGCCCATTGATTTCTCTACTCCAGATCAGGGCAGGCTGAGGCCTCGAGGATGGCACCTCCTGAGCTCCATTGCCAGGGCATGAGGGGTGGACCAAATGACTGGATGGGAGCGGCTGCAGGCAGTCAACAAAAACGTCATCAAATGAAGCCTGTTCCAATGAACGGTCTGAGTTTGACCAGCTATCACATCTGGTGGGTAGACTGGGGAAGAAAAGCAGGTAAGTTGGACTAAAATGCAGCCATCCGCCTACCACAAAACCAACACTGGCCTCATTCCCATCCCCCCAGTACCACCTTGCTTGCTACTTGCACAGCCACATTCCCTCTACAACACTCAGTTACACCAACCCCTTGGTGTGGCAAAAGAAAAATGGTTTGTTGATTTTTTCATCCTCTAAGCATCAGATACACATGAAAATGCAAGGCTAGAAATGAAACCACAATGCTGAAATGCATGACTCATTCTGTTTAGTATACTACATGCTTCATCTTTCACAGTGGTTCATAGCAATCTGTTCCTGCCTTGACATTGGCAGGAAGAGAGATGAGAGCAGACACACCCACTAGAAAATGCTACCACTGAATGGACTAATTTGGTGAAGCACACTGAACACATCTCAGCTACAGACTCTGCAAGAGGAGGCAGTGTGACTCTAGAGAGCATGCTAGCAGGCCCAGCTCAGACAGAGTCCTGGGCATAAACATACCTGGTATGGTGCAGTCTTCCAGTCTCACAGTTGGACAAAACCAGATAATCTGGAAGGAAGAGAAGCTCTGACTCACTTCTTGTTTCCTCAGTGGCTACAGCATTAGTGTTTGGGTCATCTCTTGGCAAGGAGGAGCTGGCAGCATGGGCGGTATGAAGGGAGCCGGCAGAGGATGGCTGCGGGGAGGAGGGTGTGTAAGACAGGCTCTCCATGGAATCTGCTGGAGAAATCATTTCCCAGGTTAATGTTTAAGAATGGCTATAACACGCACTCAAAATTTCTCAAACAGCATCAAAGAAGCCAAACAGAAGATGCAAATCACAGCTGGTGTTTGTACTGATGGAGGAGACCATTTCCCCAAGCTGTAAACAATGTCTGGGAAAGAAGGCCAATGTTTCAAGAGCAAAGTGTTGAATCAATTAAGAGTAAAAAACCCAGCATTCTTGGCCTAAAACTCTGCAGTTAGTCTACACACAGCTTCTTTATGGCCCTCAGCAGCAGCCCTGCATCATTGTTTTTTCACTCAACAAACAAACATACATATATATATGTATGCATAACAAGTCCAGGCATATAATTATATATGTACTTGTGCATATATGTATGTGTATCTATACATGTTTATATCGGTATATGTCTATATAGAATACCTATCACATCTACCATGTACCCGGAATGCCACTAACCCTCACAATACAGACAAGACAAAGATCCTGCCCTTATCGAAGTTTAGATTCTAGCAGAGCAGACAGACAAATAACACATAAATAAAGAATCCTGTTCATCACTGTTATAAGTAAAAGGAAGGAAAGAAACACTGTGCTGTGGTGGCTGGAAAAGCACATTCCTTTTTCTCAAGGAGCATAACATCCTCCCTATCACCTGAAAACATGGCCCTTAAGATGAATTTGAATCAGGAACCAATGAGAACTTCAGATCAGAAACAGCTAATGAAAAGCCTGCTTTTATTTCCCCTTTGAACCAAGTTAATAGTCCAGGATTCCTGAGTCAGGAAGAGCCAGAACTGCCTGAGTTCAAGTCCAGGCTCTACTACATAGCCATTACTACATGGCCTGCCTTCTCCAAGTTTCCTTTTCTAGAAAGTGGAGATAATAATCACACATAGGCCATAGAACTGCTGTGGGGATGAGACGAGTTACTATACAAAAGCATTTCAACAGAGCTCCTGGCCAGGGTACACACACAATGTGTTGACTACTATATGGTTGCTGGAGACAGAACCAAACACTGTGAAAAGTCACAAGAAAGCCCTTTGGGTGTAATTCTCAGATGAAGAGGACCCTGCTCTTATGTGGTTCTAAAAACTGAGGGGGGCTACAGAGAATGGAAAGGGTCACAGGTGAGTTTTCTGGCTTCCTCCAACTTCACGCCGGGGCAGGCTCTCCGGTTTTGGCCTGGTGCCTTACTCATTCCTGTTGCTCTTGGGTTATTGGGAAACATATTATGTACATATGTTTTAGGATAACTCCTGGATAAGGAAAGAAACAGAGGAGACATATAACACAGTATATGACGATATACCTATTTAGGGCTGAAGGTGTGAAATAGGGTGGTAAACAGCCAGCAGCAAGGCTGGAGAAGTTGGTCAGGGAGGCTCTGCTTGATTTGCATAATGTCAGACTCTAGCCAGAACCTACTTAATGCGACTTTCCAATTAAGTTTTGTCCATTGTACCAAGGATAAAGAACTTGCCATCACTTCATTTCCTTTTATTTGAGTGCTCTCAATGCTCAGCAATATTACCGAATAGCCTCACTTAATACGCTTCCCTGGTTCACGCAACGAAAAGGAATGTGTTCTCAGGAAGCACACTCTCTTGTGCCTGTCCTGGAGGGAGATACAACTCTGACTCTCCATTGCCACCTAGTGTTAGAGTGTGGATATTTCAGTGGCAGATGGTGGAAACCATACAGTAACCCTTAAAATGTTGAAGCAAGTATAGATCACAGGATTTAGGGGCCAAGTTTTGTCTACTAGACCAAGAGGCTAAAAGAAATCAGATTCAAAATCTCATATTTTGAGGAAAAGGGCATGTTGCAATAATGTCAGGGGCTCAAAAACAAAATCCATGAAGGGAAGTGAATTGTAACCCTAGGTTACAATATACCTGGTAAATTACATAGGAAGAGTTGTGTGTATGTGTGTGCGTGTGTGCATGTGGCAGAGAGAGAGAGAGTTTGGGGTACTCTTCATGGGTCAATTGCTCCCACTGTCCAGAAATGGCCCAGAGCAAACTTACAACTAATTTCCTCTGCAGAGAACTTGAGACATTTGGAGGTATCAGGAAATCTTTCTTGCCTACGGTAAGTAGCCAAGTTCTCTCTTTCTACCATTTAGTGATGAACAACCCAATAGGCACCAGAAATACTGGAGTTCCACAATATTTTGAAGTGTGAACACCCTCGAGGAGGCAGGCTTGGCATCTTGAACTGTTTTTCTGCAGTAGCCCTCCAGTCCTGGGATACCCCTTAGCACATGGGAGCCCCAACTCCGCTCTTACCTGTGCCATCCTCCAGGTGGCCAAGGTTGCAGACCTGACTGATGCTGTGCACCCACACCTGCATTTCTTGCTCAGTTTTGGCCACCAGGTAGAATGTACGGGAAGTAGTCTTGACAATGAACACGAAATTATTCTGAAATTCCTTCCGAACAAAGCCGGGGCCCACATGCTTCCACACTGCACACTCGCTGAGGTCTATTACCCGGATAGGCTTGCTGGAGTGCTTGTTCCTGTAGTACTCCAAGACATCGGGGTTGCCGCTCATGCGGCCTCGCCGGAGGACAAACCAGCGCTTGCGCCAGGCCTGCAGAAAGGCAATTCAATGAGTTACTGGACCAATTTCTCTTCCTTCTCAGGCTATGCTAAGAACCCATGTCATGACAAGGACAGCAGGAAGGAAGCAAATCAGCCATTCTAATGATGAAACGCTTTGTATTACAGGACTAGTGCCCATCTTCAAGTCTACTTTATTGGATGATTTTAAGGACAGGTCAGGATATGAGAGTCTAGTAATGGGATTCACACCCACAGTTTGAAGGACCAGAATTATACAATCATTGAAATTGATGCAGCAAAGGAATGTAGTACAAATTTAACATATGCTTAAGCTTTAAAAGAATCTTAGCAATAAAGAACTAGAAGGAAGCTTTCTTACTATTATCTATCTATCTCAGTTCAAGAGCCAATATCATACATTAAAATCAGATGCAAATCACAAGTGCTCACCACTGCCCCAGTATCTTCTAACATTGTTATTTAAGTTCTACACAACTGGCCAAGAAGGAAAATCATACACATTGGAGAGGAGGAGAGAGGATTGCCAGTGTCTAAAGGTGACAAATTGTCTTCCATAAAACTCCCAATGATGATTAAAACACTAATAGAATTCCCAGAGAATTAACTAGCCTGGTTAATTACAATTCCTATGTAAGAGACCCTAAGTGCTTTACTATAATCCATTTAATCCCTAAAACTATACTATGGGAGGGGTAACTATTACTATCTCCATCTTATGTCTGATAAAATTGAGATTCAGAGAGATTAAGTAATGTGCCCAAGGTCACATAGCTAAACAGCTGTAGGAATGAATTTGAACTCAGGTTGGGATAGAAGGATCAGTAATGGATGTGAAGTCAAAAAAAAAAAAAAATAGAGAGAGGAAGTGTATTCAGCTCTTCAGAAACATCTGACTGTAAAGGGGGAAGCTCTGGGGTCAAGGGAGTTTTTAAAGATGGGAGACTCTTAAGCATTCCCCCCTAAGTCACAGTGTTTCTCAACAAGGGATGGTCTAATTCCTCTCTGGAGCATCTGAAAATATGTGGGTTTTGCTTGTTATAAAGGCTGGAGATGGGGTGGGGGGTGAGGCATGGCAGGATTGGCCTCAAGCTATCAGTGCCCCTGTTTTGAAACACTGTAAAAACTAAAAGGAACTTTCGTTAATGGAATAGGAATCTTGGAAAGAGCCAAGCCTGGAGGTCAGATGAACAGGTAAAGCTCAGTCCATGCTCAGAAAAGAAAAGAGAATGATATTCCACAGAAGCCAGTGCCAAGATACGACAGGTCTCTTTTGTGCCACTGAGAACTACTGAGGATGACCTAGGGCTCCTTGGCTCCCCACTCACCATTGACCTAGAATGTTTGATGTAGACAGTACCATCTTGGCTCAGTACAAAGAAAGGGTGCAGATCTCTGGCCTGGGGAAAGAGGTATTTTCAATTGACCAAAGCCCTAAGGAGTCCCCTGGATCTATAAACTTCCCTGCCCTCTCATGGAGCCAGGGGGAAGGAAATGTTTGAGTTCCTTGTCTTCTTACATTTAGTTGCCCTTTGTTCATCAAAGGGCCAGACAGGCCAGCCTGCATGGATAGCGTATGCTTCCTTTCTGCGGTAGGGAACTATGGCATGAGCCCCAGTTGGGAATTGAGCACAGAGAAGGATGACAGGCTGACCGCAGGGCTCTCTTCCATTGGAGACACTCAATGTTGCATAGGAGAGATTTATAGCTCTGTGGTTTTCTCTCCCGTGCAGTAGCATGTGTGACAGCAGGAAGTGTCGGGTTCTGCCAGGAGGTACAGCGACCCCTGGGACAGGAAGTCTTTTGTATCTCTAGCTTCATTTATGTGTAATACTTTTTAAGCCCACCAGCTTTGACCAAGAGGCCAGGGAAAAAGGAAAAGACACTATTTGGAGTATTCTCAGCTCCCTCCCTGCTCAGAGAACATGAATCTGAGATGTCAGAGAATCCAAAGAAGCACTGACCTCCAATTATGCCTTAGAATAAAAAGCCCTTCCAGGACTGTGGCAAGGGGCAGCAAGCAGAAGGCAGGCAGTCACTCCGTGTCAGGTTGGGGCAGGTGAACCCTGGTTTGCTCCTGCCTTTACAGACAGTATACGGCTTTGAGAAGAGGTCTGGCCATGAGTCAAACAAGGAGACAAACTCAGGAGACAAACAACGTGGTGTGATTAAGTCCACGTTTTTAAGACAGGAAAAATAACAGCATGTTTGTATGCTCGTGGGGGTGACCCAAGAGGGAGAGAAAAATTGATTCAATGAATTTCTGTTGCAAAAACATGGCATTGGATGGGAGTAGAGCCACTAAACATAAGAGAAGTAGCTTGAGTCTTGCTGTGGGGTTTGAAAGTGGGAAACTTGGGCTTCTGGCATCAACTGAGGCAAACAGGAACATAAGACCCAGTTCAGGGAAGGGGCTCAGGGGATAAGAGAATGGCATGTGTGCCTGCTGAGGAAAGCTTTCATGAGGAGGGAGCATGGGGTGCTCCAAACTTTCCAAAAGCCACTTTGGTAGGGGAAATGTAAAGAGGAACTTTGTTGCACTTCCCAAAAATGATTCTAAAAGAGGAAGTCAAATTGAGCACAGAAACAAGTTTCACATTAACTGCTCTTAGTGTTATGGAGACAATAGGTTTCTTATCTTTTAATAACAATATTGGAAGAGAAGTAACACCAAGAGTTTATTTATTGAGTGCCTACTCTGCACTATGCATCCTGCTAGACAATGAAGATAGAAAAGGAGATTAGAGCTGGTATCTAAAAAGACCTCACTCTCTAGCTGGGATAGGGAGAAGGGTAGAATTATGATATGAGTAGATTTCAACTCAGGGTAGTGAGCGGTCTAGCAGAAGAGTGAACCGGAAGTGGTGGGAGTGCAATGGAAAGAGTGACATGAAGAAGTTTGGGCTTTATTCATTCATTCAACAATTACCTATTGATAGCCTACTAATATGCTGGACACTGTGCAGACACTGGGGAAGATGAAGTAAGCAAGCCACAGGCCCTGCCACTCACAGTCTCATGGGCAACAAGGGAGTGAGCAGATGGATAAACAGACAATTGCAATCAGTGAGATAAGTGCTACGATAAGGCAAAACCAAGATGCTATGGGAACAAACAAAAGAGACATCTCTGTCAGATCAGTTGTCTGGGGAGGCTTCCGGGAAGAAGTGGTGACTAAGCTGAGGCTAAAGTGGGGCAGGAGGAAGCAGCATGCACAAAGGCATTAAGGTGGAAAGGCTGAAAACTTTGCGTAAGTAGTTCAGCAGGGCTGGAAGGCAGGCATGAAGGTGGAAAGGAAAAAGAACAGTCACACAGTAACTTAAATAGGATGTAGCGTAGTCTTGATGCTAAATCATGCAAAATTGCCAGTGTGTCATCCCTTAGGTTTTTAAATCTCTACATAAGAGTTGTGATTATGCAAAAACAGAAGTGGGTGTTCTTGGAGCTCTTTGCTAAGTAGGTAAAACCAGAGGCCACATACAGTTCTGTTCCACCAGGCTTACAGGCTTCTGGAAAATGAAAGACATGTGACAAAGCCCCTGAAAGCAGTCAGTCTGCCAGCACCAAAGCAAAGCTTTTTACAATGAAACAAAGCCACAAGGAATGGCGAGGGCCATCTCAAAAGGACTTAGGGGCTAACCTGAAGAGGTTACCACTGGCCATATATGAAAGAATTTTTGCTTTCATAAATACGGTCATATGCTGCATGACATTATAGTAACAATGAACCACATATACAATGGTGGTCCCGTAAGATTTTTTTTCAATCCTCCGAGACATCTGAATCCCATAAAATTTAATACCATATTTTTATTGTACCTTTTCTATGTTTAGATACACAAATACCTACCATTGTGTTACAATTGCCTATGGTATTCAATGCAGTACCATGCTGTACAGGTTTGTAGCCCAGAAGCAATAGACTATACCATATAGCCTAGGTGTGTAGTAAGCTACGTTTGTGTAAGTACACCCTGTGATATTTGCAAAGTGACTAAATCGCCTAATGACACATTTCTCAGAACATATCCCCGTCATTGAATGATGCATGATTGTATAATAACTATAGTGGCTTGCAATCCACCAAATACACTTAAATCCATGAGTTTATTGAGATATTAGAAAAAGAATTTGTCATCTTCAGAGGATGTAAGGGAACTACTTCATTTCCTTGAAAACTAGTTAAGTAAAGGGAAGAATCAAGCATTATCCAACCTTTGCTATGTGAGCTGTCCCACTTGGGTAGATGAAGGGAATGTTTCTTTATGAATGTATTCTGATTAGTAATGGAAAAACAAATGACAGAATTAGAATATCCCCACTTTGCTAGCCCCAATGAATTAATAGGTATAGCTATTAAGCATCAACAGCTGCTAACTTGGGAATAGAAACAATCAGACATTTTGTGCCTTTGATAGCCTGATATGAGGGTGCAATCAGCAAAGAAAAGCACAGGAAAAGAAGCAATCAATAAAATGAAAAGGCAACCTATATACTAGGAAAAATATTTGCAAACTACATTAAAGGGTTAATATTCAAAATTTATAAAGAACTCTTACAACTCAATTGCAGAAAAAGGAACAATTAAAAAATGGGTGAAGGATCTGAAGGAAGTGAAATCACCATCTCATAAAGACATCTGCACTCCCATGATCAGCACAGCATTAATTTACAATGGCCAAGATATGGAAACATCCTAGGTGTCTGTTGACAGAGAAGTGGATAAAGATACTGTGGTATGTGCATCGCATCACACTATGAAATATTATTCATCCTTAAAAAGGAAGGAGATCCTGCCATTTGCAAAAATATAGACAGACACAGCAAGACAAATACTGAATGATCTATCTTGTATGTGGGGGGAAAAGGTCAAATGTACTGTGGTATATTTATAAATATAAAAAAATAAAACTGGTTACCAGAGATAGGATGGGAGGAAATGGGAAGATGTAGGTCAAAGGATACAGAGTAAGAAATATTTAAGAGGAGCAAGTCTAAAGATCCAATGTA